TTAAACAAATATGTTAATGAACAATCACACCTCTCACCGCATATATAACACTGTTGAACCGTTATTTTCTTGTCACTTGATAATGATGTCATGACGACATCGAAACGTTGTGTAAAATTTTTATCACTCATTTTTATTTTGAAATGTTTATTAAAATTTCACTCCAGAAATAAATAAACACCTGTTTAGAGTAATAATTATTTTGTCACTAAATCAATTCGAAATGGTTCACCACAATCAAGTCAACATTAAAAGAAACAACTGTTCTCTGATGTTACAAGCAAACTTCTTGGTTGAGGACCTAGATTGCGAGCAGTCTCTTTTGCTCGAAAATCCGTGGGGAAGAACGCCACACAAGGGGGCGGTGGATTGTGAGCGTGCGATTGTGACATGTGAAGCCGTGAGCCGCCCGTGCTACTTGTGGTGGAAGCCGCTCGCCACTCGCATGTCCCACTGGCAGTCACACTTGTTTTGCTTTCTTCACTGCATTCTTTCCCACGGATTTCCAAGCAAAAGAGAGACTGCTCGCAGTCTATTGAGGACATCAAGATCAACAATGTTTAGTTGCTCTCGTGGAGTCTAGGAGCCTCTAGAAGAATGATCTTGTCGAGGGGACATTCCAGGACCGCTGACTTGGTTTTCAACCTGTCTCTTCTCACAACCCATCTCTCTTGCTTGGTTTTACTTCGAGGATGCGACCAAGGGGCCACAAGTTTTCTACCACGAGTAAAATATCTCCAGTTTCAATGTAGCAGCTTTATCTTCTCACCTCCCAGATACTGACTTTTAAAACCAAACTCCAACCGAGTGGAATAAAACCCCACTATAGTCCGTGAGCCAGGCAGCCAAATTTAGGCTGTCGGTATCATTCAGGGTGAATAAGTTTCCTGGTGTTTCTTGAAAGACTCTGCTATTGTAGGCTTGGAAAATCCATGATAGCACTGGATCGATGGTAGCTCCTCCACGCTGACTGCATTTATTTGCACCTCCTTCCAAGCTATAGCACATTAGGCCCGAGTTAATGTTCAATTATATGCAATTACAAATGCTTATAGAATGTAATAAAATTAACTGTGGAGACATAATCATACTTTTAAGAGTCTACATAATGTGTTTGACAACATTTTGTTTAATACGCGAGCCTGCAAATTTTGGTCAGCAGTTTGTTAATTTATGCCATGTCTGAGAACTCTGTTGCTTGATGTATCCGCCATTTTGAAAAGGCCAACTTCGTTAAGGNTCAATTATATGCAGCTACAAATGCTTATAGAATGCAATAAAATGAAGTGTGGAGACATAATTATACTTTTGAGAGTCTACATAATGTGTTTGAGAATTTTTGTGTAATACGCGGGCTTGCAAATTTTGGTCAGCGGTATGTTAATTTATGCCATGTCTGAGAACTCTGTTGCTTGATGTATCCGCCATTTTGAAAAGGCCAACTTCGTTAAGGTAAGTGCTTAAACTACTAGATATCTATCGGTCACTTAATTATTCCACAAAATATGAACTATGTTTAACGTTCTTCATAAAAACTCTAGTATTTTTTAAAACTTGCTCTCCTTTATGCAAAAAACTCCGCTTCTCGTTTTTTTTCTGATAATTCACGAAAAAAAGCCATTTAACGTAATCTATTGTCTATACAAAATGCTACGCTACGCGTAGTAAAGTATTGTGATTGGTCCAGAAAAATCACGCCACTGTCAAACTTGACTCGAAATTCGCTTCTCGTGGAATGAAAACTTACAGCGAAAGCAGAATTGAATTACGAAATCTGCAAATGTTAAAGAAAATTCTGGAAAAGTCAAGTCAGTTTTGTCATCAGAGCAGCCCTGTGGGCTGAAAAGCCTGGATGTTGTCTTGAATATTGCAGGAGTTGAAAAAATACGCTCGGAAAACTTGCGGTTGCGGTCAACACTGGAGGCCATTCGATTCGAGGTTTGAATGAAAGGAGCGTTATTGACGGTGAAAATGTGTGTCCTCTGTGGTTGGTGATTCTCAAATCAGTTTGATGTAGTGTCGGAGACACCTTATAGCTGGGATACAGTTGGCCGTGAGCTGTAGTGAGCTCTACTTTTCTCGATACTGTGCCCTGAAACGGACTGGAACATTCGCGTCGGAAAACATGGTTAAGCTTATGAGTTTGTTTAAACTGATGATGTTTTGATGTTTAATTCCTGGAATCAAATTATGTCAACAATCATTTTGAGACTGAGAAAAGTTGAATTTTTTTAAATAGATTACTGACATATTTTGTAAAATTCGAGACCAATTTTGTGTTTGGTTCTGTCTCGATCGCCTGCCGACTCAGATTGCTCGAGTATTTTTTCTGAGTCATTTTCTAGAAAAGATACGGCTTTTTCTTTCTTCTTCCAGACTCTCGTACCAGTTCAGTGCCTCGATAAGACCTTTTTGTACCTTATCTTTCCCAGTCACGTAAAATAGTGTCTAAATTCTCAAAACTTTCCGCCATTTTGAAAACAGAGGGAAAAACTTTGAAATATGACGTCAATCATGCGTCTGTCCTCTAATAGATCATAGGTGAGAACCAATCAAAATGCGAGAATAATTAACAATTAGACCCGTAGCCCGCAAGGGCTACGGATAAATAGCCCATAAGGCGAAGCCGTGGCCCTTGAGGGCGAAGGGTCTAATTGTTTTAGTATCACCCTACTAGTCGAACAGAAAAGGCAATAATAAAGTTAGCGAATGCAAGTTGAAGAAATATTTATTTGGGAATAAAACGAAAGAAAGCGTCTCGCTCGATTGCGCCAATTTCGCTACTCGAGGACTATTACTAATAGTCCGAGTCTAGTAGCGTAGCCAATTGAAATGTAGGATTTGCATTAGTCCACTAGTTGGGTGATACTAACTTAGGTTATTCCATAACACGCGACAGAGATCCCGAGCTCATAATCTAACTGTTTAACAGGAACACGATTTTTAACCAATTAGCGCGCGTATTTTCTTAGGACTGTTTTCTAACACTCTCTAAAGTAGTTTCTCGAAAAGTACTGAACAGATTAAAGTGAAAAATATCTCTTTGGAAAGCTCTTTTTCTTCCCCTTTCCATACCAACTGCTATCCGAGAATCCAAGCGCAAGTTTTTTTTTTCATATTTGATTAACTATCAAAACCAAACCTTTAATGTTATTACGTCAATTAACTTGACCAATCAAGTGTCTTTCCTAAAATAGGCTCAATTGAAAAAGATCATCATTGGAAGAGGCCCATGTATGCGGAGGTGCATGTGTTCTCTTAGATCATAGTCTCTTGGTACCGGTTAACCTGAATTACTGAAACGATGCGTTCAGAGTAATGTGACATTTGGTGCTAATAAAAGACACAAAAGTTAAACAATACCCCGAAATATATACAAACTCGGCACTGGAAGGGAAATACCATAAATGTGCATAATTTTATGTATATGCTGCTGTCAGGGGTATGTTTTTCAAGCAGTATAACTGTGGAATAGTGTATAAAAATCAAAATTTTGGTCAACAATGGGGGATCGTAATCATGGCATAGAACGTAATGTCTTAGTAAGTTGATATCTGGTAGCCGGGAAGACTGTTTTCTTTTTCCTGCTGATTACTATTCAAACTTTAGTTCGCATCAATAATTCAACAAACCAATTCGCGCTAACACTGATGACAAATAATTTAAGAGCAGCCTATTTTTTGACACTCCAAATGATAAAACTTTTATTAGAAATCGATAATAAGTGACAGCTACTGACGAAAAAATTTAAGCCAAGGAATATTTCATTTTAAACGGGATTGCTTTAGTCAAGATTAATCTCTGCTTTAAACGCCCACTAAGTCCGCCTGTTTTCCACAGCTGTTAGTCTCTAGGTGAGTGACGATTTTAATTTCACACTACCTGTTACGACAAATCCATGTTTATGATGAGATACAATGCGCTTGAAAGTTTGATACCTTAGCTTCTTCTAGAAGACGGAATTGTCGATCGACATATTTTTGTCGGGATTCTCAGCAAAGGCTTAAGTATTAATTCGGCTTTAATTTTTTTACTTGCGCACCTTAACTTAAGAATAATTAAAGTTCTTTTAATCCCTGCGATGCATATTCAGTAAACACAGAACTGTGAATGGATCGACACATGCGCAAATCAACTTTGTTCAACGAGAGGTGCCAGAGGTACGGGCAAATTGGCGACCGAATGAAAGGACATCACAGATTTAGGTGAGTGTGTAGCAACACATCTCGCTGGCTGATAAATAGCAAATTAAAAGAACAAAAGCCTCGGTTATCTCGTGTGTTGTTAATTAGATCCTCTTTCAGACCTCTTCGAATGTTTTAGAGTGTAGCCACCAATTACAGCCCGCTATTTACCCTAAAACCAAAAACAAACCTCAGTAGCAGGTGTTTCGCTAACCAAGAGAAGAAAATATAAAGTTTTCGACATATACGACTTCCTCTCTCTCAGATAAACCTTAAAATGCGAGGGCGTTGAACTCTGACGAAGTAAATCCGGCGGCCTGATAACGCGTGGTCTAATTTGGACAGATCTGCGGGCCGATATTTCTTGGAATGTGTCTGGCGAAGGAGCGCGAAAACACTGAAAACATCTGCGAACGGTCCTGCTTGGAAGACGTGTAAGTAAACTAACTCTTATCAAAATTGTTATTATTCCTAAGCGAACTTCTCATTCGGTATATTATCGTTCGTTTTCGTCCGTTGTGTTGTGAATAGATTTCAACTCTTTCTCACTGTTTGCTGTAGGAATCAATTTCGAGAGCGAGTCTTGAGCGACGCAATTCAAACGACGAAATAATTACTCAACGGTAAGTATCAGCCGTGTTTCCTGCATCATACCTACCAAGCTGTGCTTCTTTTGTTGAGATCGACATAGTGAAAATTTTCTCAGACGATTGCAAGCAGTTTCCCTAACTGATTATTTAACGCCGAACGATAAAATCGTTTACTACAACGATCCAATCAAGGTGAACAGATTTTGCCGGCAGTTGCTCAAAAATCTAATAATGAAAGAGTATTTTAAATGGTGCTAATCGAAAGTGCTTATTTAGAAAATGATAAGAAGCAATGGGTTCCGTTCTTGTTAACGCCCGTCAATTGAGTTGATGAGAGAAAATCAGTCAATATGTTCCTTCCACACGTTGATATTGAGCTCAGTTTAATGTAACTACAGTTCCAGTTTCGATTACCTGTTTTTTAAAAATAGAGCCAAAACCAGTTATTACTCAGTCAAATCAATATTTGAAGCACATTCAGTACTTGTTGAGACGCCGCCAAGAATCTCGGACATTACAACATTTTTTCACAAATTTAAAATAATTGTTGTTATCTTAGTCTATCTCGTCCAATTAATAACTAACTACGCCTGAGTCGGTTTAAAATACCGTCCTGGCATCATTCCATTAGTCTACCAAGATGAGGAAATTTTGTACTGAGAAGTAATTTGTTTTTTCCGGGCAATGGTTGTTTTTATATTACGACGGGCGGAAAATAAATTTCGCTTCCTACGGTGAGACTCGAAGTTCTAATAGCAACATTCTTATCTTCCACGAAAATATCTTCAGTGTTTTTGAATTCATTGTAATTCTTTTCATAACTGGAACAACTGTCTAAGATTTAAGACACAGTGGTTTGTTGTTTGCCTAAGGAAACGTGATTTTTGCGTCTCTCGTTTGAAGTCTGGAAGTCTAATATCTTCAACCAATTTGGATGCAAACTCTCAAACAACGAAGCAGGTTGCCAATTAACAGTGGTCGTATTGTGTCATACCATCTACACTGTTTGGAAGATTGCCGTTAGACATAAACATATGATTTATTTGAAGACATCATTATTTGAAACTTCTTTCTAATCACACTTTCCTGTTGTTCATAGTTTGCTGAGTGCAATTTAGTTGTAACAAAATAACGCACTGGGGCAGTTTTACGTGGGAAGAATAGTATTCGGTCTCACACTTGAGTATCAGCAAAAAAAGGTTTCCAAGCCCAAAAATCAGGTTTCCAAACTGTAGTTCACACTCGATATTTGATCAAACAGAACTGAAAACAAATTTGTCAACTTTACTCTTTCAAACAAAATTCAACGATCCACGCTTTTTTGCGTTATTTTTATAGTAGTTTATCTAGCGTCTAATTAGTTTTAGGTTTCCTGAGACCCGAAAGATAATTCTTGTATTCTACAACTGCACAAGACCCTGGTGGTTATTCATACGGGCACAAAAACACTGATTTTGACCTCGGGAAAAGTGTTAATATGAAACTAAACTAAACTCGTCCTGACTGTCGTATTCCGGCATTTGAATCAGCCTTTATCTTAATGATTAGTAGTACATCTTGGCATATTTCTCAACCGTCATTTGAAAACCAACGTAATGAAACAAAACAAAAACAGTGCTTTATGCATACGTTGACGATGTATTGCACACTAGTTTGCTGTCACCAAAACCGTTGGTCTTCCGTGCACAGTATGATGCTCAGATAATTCAGTAAGGTGCGAGTTTCAAGGACATCACCGTACAAAGCATTTCATGGACTGATTGAGACACAATAAGGGAAGTGTTGGGTGTTATTTTCTTCCCCCCAAACAAATTAGTATTTTGCTGTAGGCTGAACTGGTCCGCGTATTCTGATTGGTTCGCTTAGCGGTCTGAATTTTGCAATACGGTCAGCTAAGATGGACCGTGCACAAATTAATTCCCACAAGATGAATAGTTTTTTGGTTAGTAGAAATCTCTCTACCTTCACGTTTGGAGGACAATTTCAGTTGAAAGTCTCACAAAAGCGACTTGAGAAACACTAATGAATGCTTGCCTTTCGCGCGCGCGATTACCGAGAATGGATTGCAGAGAACCAGCAATTTATTAGCAGATTAAAAGAGCCATTACAATAAATCCTTTATCTAACCAGCTTGTTCGGTCCGTATTGGAAAATATTGGACTCGCTCATTTTTTCGCAGATTTATGAACCTCGCCTGCGGCCTGGTCCATAAAAACAAGAACTCGACCATTATTTCTCCAATACGGACCTCAAGCTAGTTCAGTAACATATATTTCTGATTAACATACTGTACATAAGCTTAACTTTGGCACAGTTATGACAACACAGACAATTATACCACAAGCGCCAATAATTATCTATACATTTAAGTCCCGCCCAGATGTAGTTTGAGCGTTTTTTCTAACCCGTTTGACAATCAATTTGGCTCTCCAAAACCTAAAAGGAGTTTCATCGACTACAAATTTGTCAAGTTGTCAAGAGTCATTTCCAGCGACGACTTTAACGAAGGGCGACATTATGACATATTTTGACGTGTAACACACCCTGTTTGCACACTGTTTGTAAAAAAACGATAATTTCTAGATAGCTCTAAAATCCATTTGTTCCGATAATGGTTTCACCGCCAATGTAACTTGAGTTTCGAAAAATCAACAAAGCTACAATGAATGGTAAAGTCTGCATACGAGCCAAGTTGCCCATCTGGCCAGCGCTTATCCCAGTTTCTATATATGGCATGAACCGACTAGGATTATTTCTACTCCCCCCTTAAAGGGATGCTAGTCCATCGCAGGGTTACCTTCTAGCGTTAAATTCGCCGGTTCTTATTTATACACCTGGGTGGAGAGAGTTAAAGTGTTTTGTCCAAGAACACAACACAATGTCCCCGACCAGGGCTCGAGCCCGGACCGCTCGATCCGGCGACGAGCGAACTAACCATGTAGCCATGCGACTTTAATTTTAGTTTCTTTTTAATCTGCAATGGAAAGTAGACTCAAAAAAAAAACTAAAATTAAAGTTGCACAATTTTCGTCCAGGTCTTTTAATTTCCTTTTCACCCCAGAATCAGAATCAGAAAAAAATATGGCTTTCTCAATTTAAGTTTTCCTCCGATTAACTGTTAAGACTTTAATTTTTCTGGTTATTATTAAAACAGAGTTACATTTACAATCAAAATAATACCATTTATGGTAATCAACTTGGTATTACCGTAAACATGTCGATATATTTTCAAAATGTTGCAGTTTGAATAAAAATTAATTTCAAGGGATAAAGACGATTCTAGAAGGCAGCGTCTTGACTTTCAAATTCCGTGCCTATAACCAAAGGTCTCGAAATACTAATGCTGATTTTCTCGTGTTGAAAAAAAATTAACATAACCCTCTTGGCAATACCTAAAACCTTGGTCACTAAAATGATAATGAAATGCAGATTTTTATCGTGATCGAGGCCTCTTTGAGTTAATTATTTGCTCACACAAAAAGCCACAATTCGTTAATTCAAAGAAACCATTTGAAAAATGAGTGGGCGAACCTTAAATCCAAAAGTGGTTTGAAATGTACCGACCACCTGCGAGGGATAAAACCACTAACTCAGACCAAACAACTTCTCCGTGAGTGAGTGCGTGTTAAAATTTGCATTTCATGAGTTTCAAGTCCCAAATTATTATATATTAGGCACCGGGTACCCGCCGGTAAATTAATCAATGCGACGGGCGTGAACTGAGCAAAGCTGTTTCAATTTGTGGCGACGCGGCAGTTCAATGGCCGAAATATCTTTGATGAGTTGTCCTGAATTTTAGTTTGCTTTGCAGGCCACAGACGATATTTAGCGAGATGCCAAGTGCTACAGGCATTCGGAAAGCACAGTAAGTGATGAAATTGCTTGCGTTTATTATTGTCCTAACTATCGCGTGTTTTCCATTTGCGTGATGAGGGAGTGTTAGTAGCGCGTGGTACTTAAATTTTACACTTTCAGTAATTATAGTTAGTTATGTGTAGGTTTTAGCTGCCACGCTGGAAAAGTAAAGAATAATTACTTTGTCAGATATATGGGAAATTGGAGGCGTAATGATTGTGCTTCCTTCTCCACTGAAAACATGACAGCTTTTCCGAATCCCAACATTTAACTGACATATTAAAATACCTTTGAGTAAACAATTCCTAATCGTATTTTTAGGCGACTGAATGAATAGGACCTCTCGATAGTTGAGATATACAAAGCTAAAAAGTCCGCCTAGTATCAGTGTTATGTTGTTATCACTATCGTGCTTGACTGACTGTTTATTGCCTTTAATCAAGGAGGGAAGTATATTTGTACTGTTCTTCAGCGTGTCCACATCTTTTCAGGATGAGAGTAAGCCAATGACAAACCATACTCACTAATAAGTATATTTTGGGGCAATATCACACGAAATCAAAGTTTCAATTGTAAATAATCTGCAAGTATATTTATCCATGCTTTGTGCTAAACACGATAGATTTTGATAGATTGAATATCGCAGAAATCGTTTCTTAAATTTTCGCTGATATCCTCTGCTTAACAGGAGCTTTGAATTTGCGTGACAGATAATGAATGATTTCAAAATCGCGTAAAACATCAATAGAAAATTGGTTTGTGGGAGATTATGGACGCTTTTCAGACTCAATAATTATTATGCAGCCAAAACCAGGCTGTGGTATGTTTTTTATGCTCACGTTCCAGAGAGATCTCTTCGACGTTGTGTTAGCTATACATGCAAATAATTTTAGCTTTTTTTTTATATATTGTGACAAGTTCATGGCGGGCATTAATAAAACCCTGCTTTGTTTTCAATTATGATGAAGGTGACTTTGGTAACCGGGCAACAGGAAAATACTGTTTTTCTCAACCGAGGTAAACATTTTGTTTTAAAGGGACGCCGAGAAATACTAATAACTTGTTAAAGGAAAACAACGTTTCTGCGGATCCCAGCCACACTCAAAGGGGACCCCATCAGGCTTCCTGTTGTAGCGCGGTGTGCGAGGTTTGGGGCGGCCAGAACTCCCTTCCAGCTCCCACGAGTTTAAAACATATAATCCTTTTAATTGATGGCTCCATTTCACTAAGCATTTGTCGCTCAATTTATCAGCAAAATATGTTTCACGCATGTCAAGCAGCGATATTGGCGAAAAGCGCAAATACCCTCCCTCAACGTTCAGCTAGTTCTCGAAATAAAATGCTTCATATACCGACAAAAGGCAAATGCAACGGCGTGTTTTGTAGTGTTTCACCCCACTGAGAGCAAAATTAAATTTATGCATGTTTTGTTTTGATTAAGGCCGATTTTAATTGAAAAGTCGCCGGCCAAGAGAAGCTAGCAGAATAATCTGATAATTTGAATATTTCATACTATGTTAGCTCGTAATTCTTGCTTATCACCTGGCCAGGAGCTGATATTTTCCACAACGAAGCGTATAACATAGAGCACAGACCGAAGGCTAGCTAGATGAACCAACAATAGCTAGCCTTTCCAACTTAAAGCTTGCTTTCGATTAACTTGCAATATTCTTGCGGATATTAGCAGAATTCTTTACTTCTTCAGTAACACATTACCGCCGTGTTACTCTTTTAATTAGGCAGATAATGCAAGCACGAAGACGACACCTGGGGAAACATCGATTAAAAAACTATACTTAATATTCTTCATAAGAATTTCACGTCTATATCTCTCGATCGATTCAGCGGGCGTGTGTGAGTTCCAAGTATCCTCAGCTTAATGTTCTAAGACGGCGCTCATTTCTAAATAGAAATACTGATAAAGCATCGCCGTGGCTCACGTTCTCCAGACAACGCAGAATTTTAATTGGTCATTTCACGTTATTGTTTTGCAGAGGAAGATTAAGAAATGTACCAAGATTTGAATGCACTTGCATAGCCATTGTTCGTTTACGTTCTCGTTGCCTTAGTCGTCCTGGCTCGCGTAAATTCCCTATACATTTATTGTTTTCGTGGACGCCTATCTTGATAAGAAAAAAAGCAATTGACCCTGGTGTCCTGCAAAAACAGTGTCATTGCAGCAACAAACATTATGAGAACAAAACTGAAAAACTGCCGGAGAACAAAATTAAAACCTATGCTAATTTTGCTTTGGTTAATTTGTTACTTTACAAGACGCCGACCAACTGAATTGTTCAAATTAGCATTTTAAAATGCTGTGTTTCGCCAAGTTTAACGATAATTCTGGGAGTTGATTCAGGGCCACCTTAAATTTTTAAAGCGACACTGAATCCGCTCCAAAAAGTTGAATATTGACATGCTTATTACAGGTCGATAACGAAAAACATTGGAGTTCACTGGACTCGTTTTTGAGTTTATAAGCCCTTAAAGCTAAAATTAAGGGTGTTTATATCAGCTTATACTGGGCTTACAGAGAACTTATGCTTGTTCTTGATAATGACGACTTTAAAGGCTATAAAACAAACGGCACAATACGGTTAATTACCGATACAGGAGAAGAATAAATAATACTCGACTGTTTGCAGTCCTTTTGTCTTTAATGAGGCAGTTTGCATATTTAAAAAATTACAGCTGTTTACTTAACAGGGAATTTCGAGTTGGATTTTTGCCACTATTATTTTTTTTGAATCAGTGTCGTTTGAGGAGTAACACCGTTTAGATCGTTGATTTCCGGGTGAGGCAAAAAAAAGCAGGATTATCAGTAGATTATGGTTTATTATGATTCCTCAGTATTGTTAACAGGGAAACATCTAAATTTCAAGAGGGTAAAGAAAAGCCCTACAGATAGAGCACCAGGTGAAAATTGTGCAATATTGTTTCACTTGACGTAGTGACTAGTATATGAAAGATCAAATATTTGAACTGCGGAGAAAGAAATGAACACATATATATTAAGCTTTAATTTTACAGTCTTTAACGTCTCAGCTGCTTAAGTTGTGTATATAACTGCGTTGATTATTGATGTATTCATTAATGACTTTTGTTGTGTAGTCTTTCCATTCTTATCAATGCAGCATGTGAACTACTCTTCTTACTTAGGTCCTTGGACTCCATCCCGCGTTTTCTGAGCACAGGAATGCCAGCTCGGACAAACCTGGGCGCCATGGTAGATAAAGGTGACTCGCCAATGATGGACCACCTTATTCCGTGTCCAAGCCCCCAAATGGAAAGACCTCCCTCATCCACTGGGGGACTGAGTTCTATAACTCACTCCAAAGAAGTTTTGACTTCTTCACTGCGTAAATTGACCAATCAGTTATCGGAAATAAAGAGAAACTTTGGTCAAGAGAATCACCACTGCAATCATCGGCACGGACGAATAGCTGAAGACAGGGACAGTTGGAAAAACAGAACCGAGTTTATCTTGATGCTGATTGGTTACACGGTCGGCCTTGGAAATGTGTGGAAGTTCCCTTCATTATGTCATAAGAATGGTGGAGGTAAGAATGCTACAGAATGGACTCACACTACGCCATTAACTGCTACTATACATGAAACTTATTATTAAACGAGCGTGCTGGAGATAACAACTTATATAGCAAGGCCGCTTCGCGTGCTAAAACCTCGCAGCTCGCTTCTGTCGCTTAGGTATTCTGTTTAACAATTCTTCCCTGAAACTCATGAGGTCGACTTATGGCAAGTCTAGGATAGAGAGTTATTCTCCCATAAATTCAATTTTGAGATCTCTTCAGCATCATAAATCCCAAAAAGGCAGCAGTTTCTGCTCACTTGGACGACTCAAACGGCCTTACCACGCACGGAAACTTTATGCGAGGCAGGACTGAGTATCACGTCTAAAAATAAATTGTGAGGGTTAAACTTGAGAATAAGACATATTTGGGGATCAGTCCTCTCTTGCAATTCATGATTCCACATCACACATTGGACCAAGAGCGGACTGCCCGTTTCACCACCCGACCTTTTTCCGCCCAGCTAGAGAATGTTCGATCTCGTGCTCGATCTCGTCCATTCTTGCAAATGCAAAAATTTTAATGAATTGTAGCTCTTTCTGTTAATAAATAAAAACACAATTATAATTTCTTTCGAAAGAACATTAATGAAACTTACATTTTATTTAATTCTTCTACAGCGTCCTTTCTCATTCCTTACGGAATCATGCTGGCACTAGAAGGTATACCATTATATTACATGGAACTGTGCATTGGACAACGCATGCGGAAAGGCTCAATAGGAGTATGGAACGAAATTTCTCCCTACCTTGGTGGGCTAGGACTAGCCTCTGTGGTAGTTTGTTTCTTAGTGTCTCTCTACTACAATGTTATCATTGCGTGGTGCGTGTTCTATTTTTTCAAGTCTTTTCAAAATCCTCTTCCTTGGTCCACTTGTCCACTCGAACCCGTGACTCTCGGTAACGTTACGACGTTTGAGCCTGTACACGAGTGCAAAGTGACGTCAGCTACGACTTATTTCTGGTACCGAACAACTCTGGGAATGTCTTCTAGTATTGAGGACGGTGGCGGTATGAACTGGAAGCTCTGCGCATGCTTAGTTGGGATATGGACCCTGATATGGCTATGTATGATGAAGGGAATACGGATTACAGGAAAGGTAATAATTCCACGTTGTTTCAGTTTTATTCATTGGCAATTTCACTTGTTAGCCTCGTATTAGAATTCCAAACGACTACATTGAGTTAAAGCGTAAAGTAAGCCAAGAAATATTGAGACAACAAACAAGGACTAGCTTCAGTTTTATTGTAAGCATCGTATTAGAATTCAAACCGACTGCATTAAGTTAAAGTAAGCCAAGAAATTTTGAGACCACAAAACAGATGTTAAGTACTAACATCGAATGTGTTTTCTTTTTTTTCGTATCTCCAGCAATTAACCCAGAAGTAACATGAACCTTTTGTTGCAATGGGTGACAATCCAATCCAAAGTTAATACTTCAGAGACATATTTTCATCAATGAAAACTTAACTACAGTGTCCTAGTTTTGATGAAGTATGTAAGAGCACTGAAGCTATAAAAGGAGAGATATAATGGTCTGGATATGCACAAGGCTGTGATTTCAAATTGAACAAAACCTTCCTTCACAAACACTTAGTATCTTTATGTTCGTACTCTAAAGCCTTTGGTGGGCGAGCGAAGGTATTCAGTAGTAATCTTAACGCTGCTTTGATCAACCTCGTTCCCAGGGTCTCTCGTAGGCCAGGAGATGAGAAACCATGGTAACGATGTTGTCCGTGACGGTGAGAAGTTAACTCCACGTATTCTGTTTGCAGATCGTATACATAACTGCCACCTTACCACTCATTTTGCTCATTATATTCTTCTTTCGCGGTGTTCATCTCAAGGGATACCAAGAAGGTCTGGCCTTGCTTTTTATACCTGAGGTAAGTAACCAAGAAACGGCTGTTGACAAGTCTGTCGGAAAAGCAATCCGTATTTCACTAAAAATAAAAACATTGATTAACCCGAATTCAGTCAGACAGTCGATCAGTAGACCACTGAATCAATCAAGTAAACAATCAGACGAGTAAGTGGATATACAATGAGGCAGATACCCAGTTAGTAAATCGCTCAGACTGTCAGTCGCTCAGTCAGTCAGTCAATCAGTCAGTCAGTCTCTGAGTCAGTCCCTAAGTCATTCAGTCAGCCAGTCGGCCAGTCGGCCAGTCGGCCAGTCAGCCAGTCAGTTTTACTTACCGACAGACATATTTTTCTTCTCATTAGTTTGAACGGCTCAAGGATCCACTAGTATGGTTGGATGCCGCNAGCCAGTCGGCCAGTCGGCCAGTCGGCCAGTCAGCCAGTCAGTTTTACTTACCGACAGACATATTTTTCTTCTCATTAGTTTGAACGGCTCAAGGATCCACTAGTATGGTTGGATGCCGCTGTACAGATTTTTTACTCACTCGGCGTCGCCTATGGATCGCTGATCGCGTTTTCCAGCTATAACCCGATTAAGAACGATTCGACAAAGGACGCCATTACAGTTTGCCTTATCAACTGCGCAACCTCAATATACGCCAGTGTTGTGGTGTTTTCCTTCATCGGTTTTCAGGTATTTCCACTTCTTGATATATTCAAGTTTTCCTCGCTATCTTTAACAGATAAAATTGACTGGTGTGAATTAACAAAAATTGGGTGGTGTGATTAACTCTCTCGCTTTTTATCCTGTCTTAGTTTCGGACAACCGTTTTACAAGATGCTTTATTTATACACCATTTTTTAGGCGGAAGACAAAATGGAGCGTTGCCTAGAGAAACAAAATAGTCAAGCTTTACGCCTGTTGAATAACACAGGAATAAGCAGCATACCAGTGCCCACTCTGGACGGCTTGGACAACGAACTTTACAACGAGTTCCTTCACAACGCGTCCATACTGTACAATGAGACACTTGTCACCTGTAACAAGACCGAGTTTTTAACGGTAAGAGGAAACCTTCAAGAACATTAAAAAAATTTCGTTGTTTTGTCAACAGAGCGGTTTTCATTTGAGAGTCGAAAAGTAATTGGCTTTACTTCAACTACGCTACACTACTGGCTTAAAAAAACACTCGCGCCACTTTTTCATCCAATCAGAAGTGAAACCAAAACCAGTCGTAACTCGCTCAGGCACGTTTTCCCGCGCTTTATGTCAGCTACATGCAATTACTTCGAGTTTTGATTGGTTCACTGTACTGTCTGTGTCGTTTGTGACTGACCAGATTAATTACTTTGGTTTTGGTTTTACGACACTCAATTGAAATCCGCTCTAAGTTTGACTGAACATTGATTAAATTATGTGCTTTTCACCAGCGTCAAAAGAAGCGTTTTCCAATACCAAAAACCAAACTAATAACGTAAAAAATTACTTCGTTACATATCTGCCAGTTGACATAAATGCTCACACGGGCCGGAAAATCTGTAAGATGTGGTTCTTTAGTCGCTTCTTCGCGAATTCCTTGATCAGAGTAGATTCACTGTAAACCACGCACAAGCAAATAGCAACTTCAGGATTTGTGTCGTCGCCTCGCGATATCCCTGACCAAAATTGCAGGCTCGCAACTTCATTACCAGTGATTTTTCCCTCCAAATGTTTAGGGAAATGCACTGGAAACGAGTTTTTCAGGCCCAGTCAAATTTGGAGACGGTATTGACTAATATATGGCTATGCAAACTCAATTTGCATTGGTAATTGCTACCCTGGGGAATATGCAAATGACAGCAGTGTTCCACCTCATGACTCCAGCTACACGAGGCCGCGAAAGCGAAAAGACTGGCGACCTACCCTCCCACCTAACTTGTAAGTCGGGCTTGATCTAGCTGTCCCCTTCTATCTTTGCCTGGTCTTGGGCTTGTCCCAGGCAGAGCGATTTCCCATAACTTATCACCATGTCATGCCATGTCGTATCAATACCTAGGGTAGAATATTACACTATTTTTTTTTCATCTTTGAGATACTTTTTTTTTGTTTTACTGAATTCCCTTAGATCCCATCTGGCCAAGGACTCGCCTTCATAATCTTCACAGATGCGATCAACAAGATGCCATTCGCGCCCATATGGGCTGTCATGTTCTTCCTTATGCTCATTACTGTTGGCATTGACACCGAGTTTGGAATGTTGGAGGGTGTTGTTACCCCAGTCATTGATTTAAAACTTCTCCCCAAACTCAAGAAGGAGTATCTTTCAGGTATAGAATAGAACATTTAAGTGTTGTTCGCATAAAGCGAGGTATTTTACTGAAATTTTGTCCAGTTTTAGAGAAATTATTAAAGTAGCCGTTAGTTTGTCATCTTCTTTATATTCTCGTTCGCGCATTCGCGCACTGAGGTTATTATACTCCAATATCTTTTTTTAAGATTTCATAGACTTTGTTACGCGTTTTCTATTAGGCAATCAAGCGGAATTATGAGGGTGTAAAACTCAAATTCAACTATTCAAGGGCAGGTTTAAGATGACAGCATGATAACTATTAACTAAAAATTAAAAATATAATGGAAGAGGTATCTTTTTT